AAGAGTAATACAATAAAACAGCGTTGGATCCAGACAACAATAAATAGGGTCAGACACATTTGCTTCTTTTTGGGATGTAATATGGAGGTTGATGTGCAGGCATGATGGAGGAAACGTCCAAAGAACCCTTGAGCAGCTTTGCCCAATAGGTCGATCGCCGGCAGCACCAGTAGATCGCGTGCCCTCCATTAAAAAAAATGACCTCCCGCATGATGACCCAAGCTAATGCTAATGCTAATTAGCGCTCCTAACGAACGCGTTTCCTTTCATCCCAAAGAGTCCAGTAAGGTAACGAGCCAGAATGAGCGGGACGCTTGTGACGGTTTTTCGCTTACGGCGGCGCTGTTGTAGGTCACCGCTACTACTTACCAGCCGGTCTCTCTGCCCCACGTCAGCCGGCCGGTCCTTGAGGGGGGGGGGTAGATCGCCAGGACTCGGTCAGTTGAAAAGTAGCTGGCCAGCCGTAAAAGTGTGGGCCCCCTGCCCTCGAGGACCACTAATGGAAAAAAGTGTTTTGACGGTGCTGTTAAGGTGGAGTACAGAGCATAACGGGACCACGTCTCTTTTCTTTCTCTGTTCTTGTCTTTTATTATTGCCGTATTGCTCTATTCATTCTACTACTACTGAGACACACTCGAGCACACTACTGAGACACGCTCGCGAACACTACTGAGACACTCTCGCGCACACTAGTGAGACACTCTTGCGCACACTACTGAGACACTCTCGCGCACACTAGTGAGACACTCTCGCGCACACTAGTGAGACACACTCGGGCACACTAGTGAGACACACTCGCGCACACTACTGAGACACACTTGCGCGCACTACTGAGACACACTCGCGCACACTACTGAGACACTCTCACGCACACTACTGAGACACTCTCGCGCACACTACTGAGACACGCTCACGCACACTACTGAGACACACTCACGCACACTACTGAGACACACTCGCGCACACTACTGAGACACTCTCACGCACACTACTGAGACACACTCGCGCACACTACTGAGAAACTCTCACGCACACTACTGAGACACACTCGCGCACACTACTGAGACAAACTTGCGCGTACTAATGAAACACTCGCGCGCACACTACTGAGACACTCTCGCGCACACTACTGAGACACACTCACGCACACTACTGAGACACACTCACGCACACTACTGAGACACTCTCACGCACACTACTGAGACACACTCACGCACACTACTGAGACACTCTCACGCACACTACTGAGACACACTCACGCACACTACTGAGACACGCTCGCGCACACTACTGAGACACACTCACGCACACACACTCGTGCGCATCTCACTGGCGTTCGTGAGTGAAATCTCAGTTACACCGGAAGGCGGAAGCAAAGAGGGCGGGTTTTGAACAGCGAACATCGCCAATCTTACGTCCTTCCTTATTATATATTTAAGTGATGGAATGTCATTTTAGGAGGAAGTTAGTTGTTTAAGCAACATTTCTGCGGTTGGTTTATCAACATTCAGCCTTCGTAAGAAGTTGCTCCGAGGATGCTTTAGATGTGAGGTCTAGTTAACGGGACTGTCTGGCTCCTCCAGCACCGGGCGGTCAGCTCATCTCACGCCGCAGAGAGCAGCCTGTTCTCGGCCAGACTTCTATGAAATTATCCGCTTGTATTACGGTGACCAGGGGCCTCATATATAAACGTTGCGTACGCACAAAAGAAGGCGTACGCCGCTCTCTACGCAATAATTGGTATAAAAAGCAAACTTGACGGAAAAATGTGCGGTCCTTCACGCAAGCTCGGACTCATGCGTGCGCACAAAAACGGGTGAAATGAGAACCGTCGGCAAATGCAAGAAACACGTGTGTGACAGTGTAAAACTAGACTGTTGTGTAAAAGAAATGCCAATACTGCCCCTCATAAATAACACAAACACCCGTTTGATCGATCTGCAGCGTAAAACAACCAGAATACAAATGAACACATTTTCAAAAAGAAAAGTGAAATATGTTCTGCAATAATATCGGCATGTTATTAAATTCATCCTCTAAACACAGCTGTTGCTTGTCAGATGCAATCAAATGGACGGTAATAAAACGCCATGATGCCATCACAATGCGTAATGACGCTGATGGCTGATCTTGCGCTCTTAGAAGATGTGGCACATGGAAGGATTCGCGCTGTAGTGCAGCGCACCATTGGCCTGTTTAAGTGCAGCTGGCGCTGCATAGTGATGGCAAAGTGAAGCTTTCTGAACCAGTGAAGCTTTCCAGCCAATTGTATCGGAAAAAGGTTCATTCATCCAATGCATCGCAAACTCTATGATGACCTCTGCTGTTATAGTGCAAATGTATCGAATAGCCTACCAGTATATTTTGGCCCAGTCTCTGTGGGTTGAACATGATTATGAAAAGTTGAACCAATAAATCATCTAATAAATACACGGATTCCTATATGAATGAAACTATTGTTTTTCAGGTTTGAATTGTGTCCTTGTTTGTGTATTTCAATTCTCTGTACATTGATTGTACATTCGATTTGATTCAATGGGCTGGAAACAGAGTTCGGGCTTGTCGATTTGATACAGTCAAAGTCAGTGTTGTTGTAGCAGCAGCAGCAAAGAGCAAATTTACAATGGAATATGTGGCAAAGAGGTCGCTCCGAGATGTGGCAGCACTTCAATTTGATTTCGTCTAACAATGTTGGCAATAGGCAGGCAAAGTCTGTCATTTGTATTGTGTAATTATAGATGTTTATTTTTATTGTGGAGACCACCAGATATTTGGCTGAACCAAACATTCCACGGAGTGAAGACCCGCTAAAATATTGGGTCAAACACAAACATGTGTACCCACATCTATTTGTATTAGCACGTAATCTTATGATTGTGCCGCGTGAGCGTGTTTTTTCTAAGGCAGGGGAAACAGTATCTACAAAAAGAAACTGACTCAACCCCAATACTGTGGAGAAAATTGTGTTTCTCAATAAAAATCAATAATAATTTCATGCCCCATCCCATGTGTCCACAAGCACCTCAATATCCTGTCATAAGAAACCTGTCCAAAAGCACAGTCACTGCCCCACTGCCCTTTCCTCTGTAAATCACTTCCCACATTCCACATTCAAACAATTCACATAAGTCCCTGTGACTGCCATGAACTGCACATGCAGTAGGAAGCACCTACTGGTATTTTAAATTAAATTGCTTTCAATACCTCTATATATATATTTTTTTTTTTTCTATTACTCTGCTAGTGTGATCCCAAAGGTGCAGAAAGACATAGATAAGTGTTTGTTCCACTTCTTCCCAATGTACAGAGAATTGAAATACACAAACAAGGACACAATTCAAACCTGAAAAACAATAGTTTCATTCATATAGGAATCCGTGTATTTATTAGATGATTTATTGGTTCAACTTTTCATAATCATGTTCAACCCACAGAGACTGGGCCAAAATATACTGGTAGGCTATGCGAAACATTTGCACTACAAGTTTTCAACAGCAGAGGTCATCATAGAGTTTGCGATGCATTGGATGAATGAACCTTTTTCCGATACAATTGGCTGGAAAGCTTCACTGGTTCAGAAAGCTTCACTTTGCCATCACTATGCTTTCTGTCAACAGACCAATATGATAAAGACACTCGCCCCCCCTCCCCCCTCCACCCTGACCTCTACTCACTGTTAATCACTCAGTCAGTCAGCCTCTCTCTCTCTCCCTCTATCTCTTCCTCACCACCCCTCCCTTCCTCACCCTCTCACCCTCCCTCCCTCTATCTACACCCCCCCACCCCACCCAGTCCAATAATTACAAAATAAAAGCCCCATGGAGGGAATTCTTACTGTAATGTTTGTGATGAGGCCTATTAATTAAAAACGTCTTAGTTTAATAACAAACATTCTGTCTCCCAACCCCCCTCACCCAATTCCTTCATTACAAAATAAAAGCCTCAATGATTATCTGTACCTTAACCATGAAGCGGTTTCGTTGAAATACGTATTGCTCTTTCAAATACTACTACAACCACTACGAATATTACTAGTACTTCTAGTAGTACTACTACAACTGATACTTCTACTACCATACTACTATAGTATTTCTACTACTATTAATACTACAACTACTACTAATGTTATTACAAATACTACTACGGCTAATAGTATCAGTATTACAGCTGTTTCTACTGCTATTGATACTAAACCGACTTCTACTGCTAGTACTACTGATTCCACGATTACAACTATAACTACTACTAATATTACTACAAACAATTTTAAACCTCTTTTTATTCATCTCAGCTTTTGTTATTTCTGTATTTTTTTTATTCATTTAAGCTCCTGCAACTTCTGTATTTTTTAGAAAATCTATTGAAATTCAGCTTCCCCACTTCCTGTATTTTCAGCAGTTCTTTAAAATAATTTCAGCTTTTCTTATCCCTTTATTAACAGCAATGTTTTAATATTCATTTCTGTATTTATTTCAGCTTTTTTCATTTCTGCTTTTACTGCAAATCTATTGAAATTCATTTCAGCTCCTCCCATTTCTGCATTTTCAGCAATTTCAAATTCAGCTTTTTTAATATCTGTAATTTCAGCAAATGTTTTTCAAATTTCCTTCAACTTTCTGTATTTTCAGCTATTTTTAAAAATTCATTTCAGCTTTTTGCATTCCAACGCATTTTCAGCAGGAAATGCTTTTCCTAGTTCGACTTTCTAACCCTTCTGGTTTTTGTGGCGGAAATGCCACGAGGACAAGATTCCACACGTGGGCGCGTCATGAGAAGGAGGCGGTTTCACGTCTCGCACGTGGACCAGGAGGTGAAGCGGCTCGGGGACTTTCCTCACTGCAGAAGCAGCAGATTGAATCCGTAATTCCCGTGAGAAGCGGCAGAGGTAAGACGTGTGTGTCTTTGTCTCATAACCCACCGATTCGCTGCTGTTCTTTGGCTCCAACGTCCGCGAGCTTCAAGCACCGACAAAATGTCCCACTCGGTCCAAAAGTTGTGGACGTCATATGTGACTCTTCCCCGCCAGCTAAAGGTGTGTTTGGAGTATTTTAATGTGGATTCCAGCTTATTGTAGCGAGGACGGTGGTGATTGTGACCAGTAAAGCTGTTCATGAGGAGACTATTCTGATGTCTCTGTCTTGTCTGTCTTCGTCTCAGACAAACACAACCAATGTGAATAGATTCAGGCTGATGCTGTTTGGTGTGGGTGGGTCGGAACATTAACCACGGAGGCTCACAGAAGCTCGCTCCCCTTTGTATAACGGATCCATGTCGTTGACGTAGATCAGCACGGAGGAAACTTCTGGTGTCGTGGATCTGGAACAACGTGTCTTGGAACACTTCAGGACATGTGCAACGCGACTTCTTCACAGGCTGCAGCCTCGCAGCGACACATTTGGATAAAACAAGGATATTGTTTTCTTACGGCCATCGCGTGACGTAAACCAGACACGAACAAAACACAGTTAAGAGAATACATTAAAAGACCGAACCGACCAGGTTGCGAACCCATGCAGCAAAACGCATCGAGCGATTCATGTCTTAATATATTAATACAAGGTGGTCGGCACGGAGGAAACCTTCTGGTGTCGTGGATGTGAAACAACTGGTCGCCGTGGGCGGGTCCTGGAACACATCCAAAGACATGTGTCGATTCTTAATGGTCCCCCAATTAACGTGAACAAGCAGCGTCCCTGTGAAAACGCCATGAGGTCGCGTACGATCCTTCCAACCGGAGATGGACCCACAGAAGGTGAAGGAATTGAAGGACTACTAGCAGAGCAACGCTTTTCCTGCACATTTCAGCAAGAATGAGCGATATGTTCTCAAACTTGTGCAGAGAGTTACCAACTGATAAGCAACTACTCAAAGTTAAACTTTGTAGTTTGGCTTTCTTGACGGAATTGTACTTTCTTGATTCTTCTGCTGCGTCCGTACCCCCTGGGTTGAATGCACTTATTGTAAGTTGCTTTGGATAATCAGCTAAATGAAAATGTTAAAGTAAGTTAAATAATATACTGAATATTTAAATCAGTCCCCTCAAATGTTTATGCAATCTAATTCATAGACGGTGACCTGTATTATCAGTGCCGCAGGAAGCGAGATGAGCAGCGGCATCATCTTGCCAAGCGTGTGTTGACCCCACAAGAAGCCAATGCCATATTCATGGAGTTTCATGACCGTGACATTGGAGCTCACTGTGGGGTCGACAAGACCATGGATGCAATTCAGCAACGGTTCTACTGGCATGACGGCCGACATGGAGAAATGGGTGGGTGTCACTCCTCATCTCTGGGGAGCTTGTGGTAATATTTAAACTTCTGATATCAGTGTTTTTTAATTGTCAATGTTTTAGATTGACCAGAGTGATGCCTGCCAAAAGAAGAGGACCTCTATAAAGGAGAACGTGCTATACAAACCTATAGAGGTAAATACTTACTAAATATAACATGTTGAATGGAAGCATCCTTGTGTTAAGATCTGGTTAGCTTTTTAAGGTGACTCAACCGTTTGAATTAGTTGCCTTGACGTTTCGTAAGCTAAAATGCACCAAGAATGAGTGTCAATACATTTGTGTGATGGTGGACTATCTCACCAAGTGGCTTGAGGTGTACTCACTGAAAACCAAAGGAGCGGAAGAAATCCCCATGTGTGTAATGGATTTCTTTTATAAATATGGCGCCCCAAAGCGTATCCTCACCGACCGTGGAAAGGAATTTGTGAAGTAAGTAATATTACTGTATTCGTGGTCATGTTACCAATGGAAGAAGCATCATGGTATTCAAAATAAGTTGTCCTCTTGTGCATTTTATAGATGAATACCGAGTGCCAGAAACTTGGCATTGACGAAGCCTCTGTGTTCCATACCCGCAAACCAATGGCTTGGTTGGAAAACTCAATGGCACGATTCAAGGGGTATAACATTATTTATCTAAGATATATTCCAGTAACCACTGTTCATCTACATGGAGACTGACTTTTTATTGTCATTAATAATTGTTTTCCTTTTTATTTCAGAGTTTTGAAAAAAAAGGTCCAGGATCACCCAGTGACTGGGACCAATACATTAAGTCCACTGTGTTTGGTCTAAGGACGAAGAACAGCTGACCACAAAGTACTCCCCATATTTCCTCATGTATGGGAGGGAAGCTCGGTATCCCTCCGAAATACCGGTCGAGGGGCAGGTATGAAATTTCCTACAGTTAAGTTGCTTGGTAACTATATAGATTTCTCTGCCTAATTTGGACTTTTTTTTTAATTTGTCTGCACCAAATGTAAAAGCGATCAGAGGACCATATCGGTGCTCTCACCAGGAATGAGGAGGTTTCCAACCACATCACAGAGCAGAAGGATGTGTATACGAAGGTTGCTGCAAATCTGGCAAAAAGCCACGATCGTGTACGCAAAAGAAAGTTGGCAAAGGGGGATGATGACTGCTTTGTTGTGGGGGACGAGGAAAAACATAAGGGAAGAGCAAAGAAAAGGGGACAAATGGAGGCAGACATGATGGGTCCATATACCATAACTAACATTGATGACAAAAGTGCTGACCTCATGAGCAACAAAGGAAAGAAAATCCTGAAAATTAACATCGACCATCTCCAAAAATATGCGGAACCTGAAGATCGTATTCCAGGCAAATGGATGGCGGCGTCTTCTCCTCCCCCTCTGCAGTCCAGCCCGTTGCAGTGTTTTGTTCCCCTTGTTGCTGACAAGCAAACAACCCCCCAGCCGGTCTCCTTGACCTCCGCTCCCCAGAGGAACGTAAGTACGGATATCAATTCTATGGAATGACTTCAGTGACCCTGCATTTAATCATTAAATCCTCCGCTGTGTCTCCTGCTTTCAGTCATAGCTGACATCTGGGCGGGTAAACGCCGAGCTGTGCTGTGGAGCAAAGTGGGGCCGTATAAAATATTTGCCGCAGACTTTCAGAACTTGGCCCCCGGAAGGGAAATAGGGAGTGAGGTGCAGGGGGTTGAGAGGGTGCGCTGGGAACCGCAAGTAGTTTGAGTCCCGCCTGCCCCATGTCACAAGTCGAAGTGTCCCTGAGCAAGACGCCTTCGATATCCCCATCGGACCGGTTTGCCACAAACGGCACTGGACACTTGTGGTGAGAATAGTTCGTACCATCAAGAAGAATGTGAAGACATTCCACACTCTTGTGTGGTAATCTGACATGATTTGAATGTGACCTTAATGTATTTTGAAGGTCATTTATCCAAAGGAACACCGGACGGTTTACCTTGATCCGTTAGGTGAAACTCCAGACAACTTGACTAGATGCAAGGATATGACAAGGTGTGTTATACATCCCATGTGTGTAATATGAGATTATATATATTATATCTGATTAATTTCTCTCCAACAGAGCCTTCATGAGAAACAAAAATATGTGTCAAGATGGAGTTGCTCAACCGTGAGCCACCCGAGACGGCAAGACTCGCCATCCTGTGGGGCGCTAAGCGTGTGAGAGACCCTTTGGTGATTATTACATGTTACTGATTTAAAAATACTGCCTAGTTTGCAGAATTTGGTGACCAGTTTAATTTCTGTACCGACGAGGCCGCTCCAACTCTCTTGAGAAGAGAGATAGCTTGCAGACTGGTCAGTGACTCAGGTTTGTCTTTTTCCTGTTAATGTTTTGTCACATGCACTTAATTGTTCATTTTATTACACTTGTTAGAAAGCATGACCGATCTATGCAGAGCATGTGGAAATGCACGCCAAAGTCCAGGGAGCAGGGGACATGATGACTGGGTAAGATTAAATGTAAATGACTGTAATCCCATAAATGTATGGTGTATTAATCTACTGCGTTGCTGATCCTCAGATCCAGTGCTCAACATGCGCCCTGTGGTTCCATTGGGTTTGCACTGGGAAACCACCTTCGGAGCAGGACTTCTGCTGTCCAGCAGTTTCAATGATTTATTGATTGTGACTGTTAAAACACTTATTTAATAAAATTTCCTTTGAGAACTTTATACGGTATTTGATTCCTAATAGAAGTGTACAATCTGTTTCACTCAATTCCTTCACCTTCTGTGGGTCCATCTCCGGTTGGAAGGATCGTACGCGACCTCATGGCGTTTTCACAGGGACGCTGCTTGTTCACGTTAATTGGGGGACCATTAAGAATCGACACATGTCTTTGGATGTGTTCCAGGACCCGCCCACGGCGACCAGTTGTTTCACATCCACGACACCAGAAGGTTTCCTCCGTGCCGACCACCTTGTATTAATATATTAAGACATGAATCGCTCGATGCGTTTTGCTGCATGGGTTCGCAACCTGGTCGGTTCGGTCTTTTAATGTATTCTCTTAACTGTTTTGTTCGTGTCTGTGGTTTACGTCACGCGATGGCCGTAAGAAAACAATATCCTTGTTTTATCCAAATGTGTCGCTGCGAGGCTGCAGCCTGTGAAGAAGTCGCGTTGCACATGTCCTGAAGTGTTCCAAGACACGTTGTTCCAGATCCACGACACCAGAAGTTTCCTCCGTGCTGATCTACGTCAACGACATGGATCCGTTATACAAAGGGGGGCGAGCTTCTGTGAGCCTCCGTGGTGCACTGCTAAGAGCAGCCACCAGGGAGATGTTCTGATGTTTTCACTCACTGGGTTGGAATCCAGGTTGTGCCGATCTTTCCTTTAATATATTTTTTTATGTAAATGTGTTCATACGTGGCTGTGACGTGGTGCTCACTTATACAATCGTAAACGCTGCTATGGATTTGTGATGCGTTTTGAAGATTTTCAGCAATATGTTTGTGAATATGTGACGGATCAGGGAACTGAGGCGGCCACATCTGCAGCTGTGGAGTAAACACAAGTCGAATTAGATTTGAATGGGAAAAGGGTTCCCAGCTCCACCGTGACTGGTACAGGGCTCATCCTTACTTCTCACTGCTCCATCACGTGAAGCAACCCTGGTGGTGGGTCTGCCAGTGTGGGAAATATAAAAATATAATACCTCAATTCTCAAACTATATAAGTGAAGAACGATGTTAAATATTTTTAAATCAAGAACTGAATAAAAATGATATTCACATATTTGTACTTTGTAAAGGTTGTTGTATTCTTCACTGTTTGCTTGGATTTGGCTCCCTATGAGTCCACAAAGCTTCATGTTCATTTCTTCATCTGCTTTAAACGCATTTAGTCACTTTTTAGTGTTTGTTTTCTTTAGTGTTCAGTTTTTCTCTCCTTGATCACCAGGTTCTAGTCGACCTTTTACTAACTGATCACATGGAGAAGTGAAGCATCCGGAGAAAGCTTCCCCATGTTACCATGGTAACCACAGTGTCTCATCAGGACAGCTACATGTCCTCTTACTGTCTGTGTTTTACTGACTTCTGGACTCTCAAGAGGAGAAACAGCACAGCTCCATCTGCTGGAAGAAAAGTGATAATGTTCATCTTTTAAATCCTTACATGTCATTTAGCTGAAGCTTTTATGCAAAGCGACTTAAGTGCATTCAACCATAAGGATACAAACCCAGAAGAACAAGAAGCAACAAAGTGCAATTTCATCAAATAAGCCGCTTTACAACTTGCTATAGATAAGAGCCATTATAAGTACAATTTAGTACAGTTCGTGTGTTAGTGGAGGTAGAGTGTGAAGTCTAGAACATCCACATTCTATAATAGGTACAGGATTTCCCTTTACAAATATACATGAAGAAATGCTGCATGTTGAAATCTCCACCCTGTCCAGAGATGTATTTATGGCACTGCATACTTAGGAATAATTATAACCGTGGGTTTTCATATGAAAATAACATTAAACAGAACAGATGGGTGCAATAAATACACACATGCACAAGGTATTCATGTTAAATCAATATATAGGCTACTTAAACTCTGCATACAGAACGGCAACATGAGATATGTGTACTTTTATAAACAGAATATTACTAATATCATTTTACATTACAGGTCATTTAGCAGAGGCTTTTATCCAAAGCGACTTACATTACATTTTTAACCCATAGCTTTTACATTTTTGCCCGGGGAGCAATCAGGGGTTTGGTGTCGTCGTGGCGCAGGGGTTAGAGAAGGTGTGCTGGGAAGCACAAGGTTGGTGGTTTGATTCCAGGCTGCCCCATGTTCCATGTCGAAGTGTCCCTGAGCAAGACACCTGACCCCTAATTGCTCCCTGGGCAAAAATGTGAAAAAGCCATGAGTTTAAAGTGTAATGTAAGTCGCTTTGGATAAAAGCGTCTGCTAAATGACCTGTAATGTAATGTGTCTTGCTCAGGGACACTTCAACATGGGACATGGAGCAGCCGGGACTCCAACCACTAACCTTGCGACACCCCCGCTCTACCCATGCGCCACCGTCGATAATACAATCATTTGAATTATTACTTCTTTAAACTAAACATTTAAAATTAAAAAATATATATTCATATTATATTATATTACTAGTATAATATTGATATTCTGAAACTATATACCTCGTGTTGTCATTCTGCATGCTGAGTTTTAGTGGCCTATACAGTGATTTAACATAAATAACATCCTGATGGACCGCTGCCTCCTGCCAAAGCAAGGACTACATTTATAGGATGGGAATTTAAAATGACGTCTCTTGACACGTTAACAGAGTTTAAAGAAGATAAAAGGAAGTTTGTCTTTCTAAACTAACTAATCTAAAAGTCTAAACTTTAACAGACAACAACACAAAGTGTCTCATGAGAGTTTTAGTGTTGAGGTGAATGAGCTCTGTGTGTTTGTCCTGATGAAGATAATAATGTGTGAGCTCTTCCAGCAGGTTGGTGTGAAGGTGTGAAGGTGTGGACTCTGCCATGAATGAAGAAGATCTGGAGGTGTTTGACCTGAAGAAATACTCTGCTTCAGAGGAGGCTCTTCTGAAGCTGCTGCCAGTGGTCAAAGCCTCCAACAAAGCTCTGTAAGTACGCAGAGTTAGATTCAAACATCAGAACTTAAACATGCTGCCATCTTTTATACTTACTGCTTCTTCTTCATCCCTCTCTTCAGACTGTGTGGCTGTAACCTCTCAGAGAGAAGCTGTGAAGCTCTGTCCTCAGTCCTCAGCTCCCAGTCCTCTAGTCTGAGAGAGCTGGATCTGAGTAACAACAACCTGCAGGATTCAGGAGTGAAGCTGCTGTCTGCTGGATTGAAGAGTCCACACTGTGAACTGGAGACTCTCAGGTCAGGATTCAATTAAAGTCCACTTGGTGTCTTTATTTACATCCATGGTACATTTCTGACCTTCATAAGATTCTTTCTGCTTCCATGATTTAAATCAAATATGTTTATTCCAAATATTTCCATTATTATTATATTTTTTTTATTTTCAATATAATGTAAATATTTGACATTCTAGAGTTAGTAGTAATGCTATCAGGTTGTTGATGTACATTGGTGGGTGTTTAGTTGTGACTGGAAACCAGTCAGTAACCATGTTAATGTGACCCCTCTGTACCTGATAGGATCTCAGTGCTGCAGTGACCTTCTAGTCCTCACAGCTCCCTCAGATCATGTGACATGTGTGTTGTGTTGTGTGTCTGCAGGCTGTCAGGCTGTCTGATCACAGAGGAAGGCTGTGCTTCTCTGGCCTCAGCTCTGAGCTCCAACCCCTCCCATCTGAGAGAGCTGGACCTGAGCTACAATCATCCAGGAGACTCAGGAGTGAATCTGCTGTCTACTGGACGGGAGGATCCACACTGGAGACTGGAGACTCTCAGGTATGAAGAGGCTGCAGCCACAGACCATCAGTCTGTAGAGGAGCTGGAAACCTTTTCTCTGTCCCACTGTCAGCCTGGTTAATAAGACCCCGACACACCAAGCTGACCTCAAACTACCAGAGACTCATCTAACTGTTTGTGTCCCACATGCAGAGGTGTCAAAAGTATTCACATGTATTACTCAAGTAGAAGTACAGATACTAGGGTTTAAAAAGACTCCTGTAGAAGTTGAAATACCAACTCAAGCTTTTTACTTAAGTAAAAGTATAAAAGTACTGGTTTCAAAACTACTTAAAGTATAAAAGTAAAAGTAATGTAAGAAATTCCATTAAGGACAAACTCTTAATGTGTAACCTCGCTCACAGAACACGGCAGTCCGTTACCATGTGATCAGAAGGCGCCTGCAGATCACGTGACCTGCCGTTGGGATGGTGGAAACCTGGCGACATTCAGAGACACAACAAAACAACACGTGTATCTGACTTAAACAGATAAAACCACAACCCATTTTCCAGTGACACGAGTCACACACATGTTGCTCGCATTGATTCGGTGCAGTGTCTCCCCCAGGTTCACTACGTCATCGGGGGGGCACACCCCTGTTAATAAATGATGGGAAACACTGAACTGGCAGCGGTCGGTTATCAAAACATCGGCCAAATAACCAGTATGTTCAGGCTTTATGAGCAAATACAGAATCCCTTTGTGTTCATTTCCAAAGCCGCATTAAGACACACATCACTTTATTGAATACGCTACTTGCAAGTCGCTGTGTTGTGCCAGACTCTCAATAAAACATTTAGGACAAACCCACGGTGACGAAGATACTCATTTAACGTTACATGGGATCTGCGTGAGGAAGAGGAGGAGGAAGAGGAGGGTCCATCGCTAAATACCAACTTTCCACCGACCACTTTTCCCACCCGATGTCGCTCCGATCTGCCGGCGCATCGCGGAGAAAACGGGTGTCAGGATGCTAAATGTTTATACTTCTCATCCAACCACAATCAAATTCACTGTCCGCATAGCGCCATTTATCTGTGTTTTTGAACTACGACAAGCCGGAAGTAACGAGGCTGTTTTTAAAATGTAAGGAGTAGAAAGTATAGATATTTGCGTGAAAATGTAAGGAGTAGAAGTAAAAAGTCGTCTGAAAAATAAATACTCCAGTAAAGTATAGATACCCAAAATTTCTACTTAAGTACAGTAACGAAGTATTTGTACTTCTTTACTTGACACCTCTGCCCATATGAGACCATCAACACAGACAGAAGTAGTGAGGAACAGTAGCCAGGATGAGCCTGAACAGGGAGGAAGGTGATGGCTTGTGTTGTGGGTTAATTTATCTATACTTTTAACTATTTTCTAAGTATTCTCGATTTATCTGACTCCATATGAGGACCCACACATCCTCACAGGGACTTTCAGTTACACACAACGATAGAACGCACTGATGATCTGGATTCTTCAATTCACGGAGATTTACTGGAGCAACAACACTCGAAGCTCTTTCCAGAAAGACCCCAACGAGGCGATGATGCGACACGTTAGGTTACATTTCTTTGACCATCAGATTGAGTGAAGCCCTTCAGTCCTAACTACGTAACTCTCCTCCTGTTGTTATTGTCCTGATGATGATTTATTCTTTGCAGCTAGCAGCCAGGCTAAGATTCGTCCTGGAGTCTCATGTGTTAAATCAGCTGCCGCTCTGATCCGAAATAAACGTGTTTAACAGATGAGGGCGATATATAAAGTCCCATTCACCTGTGTTCCTTCCTGCACCATCATACCCATTTCTGAAGCACGTGTTGGACGAAGAAGCACTGATATTGAGATGTGCTTTCAGACATGAGAAGGTGTTTGTGGACAGATCAGACCAGCGTGAAGCATCTCACCATCCCACAGATGTCTGTGTGGCACTGAGCTTTGTTGAAAGCGGCATGTTTTTAGATGCTGAACCTGTAAATAAAGGCACTATTTGTCGTACTGTCAGAAGTGTGTGTTTGGCACTGAAGTCCTTGGCACACATCTTTATCACCTTCATGGACACAGAAGAATGTAGCAGGCATCTTGTTAGTCATTTCTACACCATTTGCAAACTTTGCAGCCTGCAAAATGTTTTAATATTTTATCTTGAGAGGATCTTTTTTGTCCCGTCACGTTTGTTGTGTATAAACATTATAAAGATATTTAGAATTAGACACAGCTTCTAGAGATTTGTGCATATGTGTCAAGGGATGCGGGGAAGGCAGGACTCAAACGCAGACGTCGAGTAACAAAAGAAGACTTTTATAGTCAAAAATACCAAAAGCAAAGGGCCATGGGGGCAAAAACACACACGAACCAGGGCAAAAAGGCAGGCACGAACTAGACACATCCAGGACGTTCGACAATGACGCGACAAGAGACACACACTGCTTAAATACACTAGGGAGGTGCAGGTGATTGGACACAGGTGGAAACAATCAGACAATCACAGGGGATGACAGGACAAGGCAGGAAGTGAAGTTACCCAGGGAGACAAGAAGCAGAAAACGACAAAATAAGACAGGAAATAAAACCACACCGTGACAGTATGGTTGTAAAACATATTCTCACATTGTGAACAAGGTGTCAGTCAGGCCGGAGCCGGGGAGGAGGACAAGGAAGCAGAGAGGTTTGACTGCAGGAGATTTATTCCAATAATTCATATATCTAATAATACCAAATACAACGATCCTTTCACAAACACAACACTAACGCGGGTGTGGACATGCACAACTACAAGACACACTGGCACAGGACAAAGGGAGACGCAGACAATAAGTATCCATGAGGGAGGTGAGGAAACGGGTGGAGACAATTAGGAATCAGGGGAGACAATCGACAGGAGACACCTGAGCAAGAGCAAGGCACCTGAAACGAGAGGGGGTTTAGACGGCACAATAAAACAGGAAGTATCAAAATCAGACGTAAGACGGGACACAAACACAAACTTCACCAACATGTATGACAGTACCGCCCCCCTAAGGCCGAATTCCAGGCGGCCTTGGAATGTCCGGATGGTCTCTGTAAAAATCTCGAACGAGATCAGGGTCCATGATGAGGCTGGCAGCCAACCCTCCGGGCTGTATGCCTCCCAGTCTACGAGGTACTGCCAGCCTCTGCCGCGCTTCCGTACTGCCAACAGCTTCTTCACAGTGTAGACCGGACCACCGTCGATCATTCGAGGGGGCGGGGGGGGCTTCGGATCTGGCACCATACTGCTCTCCTTGACTGGTTTTATTTTGCTAACATGAAATGTGGGGTGAACACGAAGCGACCTGGGCAGGCGGAGGCGTACAGCAGCTGGGTTGATCACTCTGGACACGGGGAACGGGCCGACGAACCGTGGGGCCAGCTTGCGTGACTCCACCTGCAGGGGCAGTTCCTTGGCCGCGAGCCACACTCGCTGGCCGGGCTGATAAACCGGAGCCGGTCTCCATCTGCGGTCTGCTGCCCACTTGACCCTGTCCCCCTGTCTGATCAGCGTCTGGCGAGTTGCTGCCCAGATGCAGCGGCGGACCAGGGCGTGAGCAGAGGGCACAGACACCTCTGATTCGGACTCTGGTAAAAAGGGGGGTTGGTAGCCGAACACACATTGGAAGGGGGACATACCAGTGGCGGAAGTGGGGAGGGAGTTATGGGCAAACTCGACCCACGTCAGGTGCTTGCTCCAGACTGCAGGGCACTGCGCCACCAGGCACCGGAGGCCGGTTTCCAGCTGTTGCTGGGGGCGCTCGGTCTGGCTGTTAGCCTTAGGGTGGTACTCTGATGTAAGGCTCGCCGTGGCTCCGATGAGCTTGCAAAACTCCTTCCAGAACCTGGAGACGAATTTTGGCCCCCGATCCGACACAATGTCCCGGGGGAAACCGTGAATCCTAAAAACACTGTCCATCATCACCACTGCCGTCTCCTTAGCTGATAGCAGTTTAGGTAGGGCTATGTAGTGCACCATTTTGGAGAATCTGTCCACCACAGTCAGGATAGCGGTGTTACCGTTTGACGTCGGGAGCCCCGTGACAAAGTCTACCGAGATCTCGGCCCATGGCCGGGACGGAATGGGCAGTGGCTGGAGCAAGCCTGCCCGGGTTCTGGAGGAGTTCTTGTTTCTGGCACAGACTGAGCATGCCTCCACGTACTCCCGGACCTCCGGCTCCATGGCGGGCCACCAGAACCTCTGCGTGATGGCAAACATGGTCCGCCGTACGCCCGGATGGCAGGTGAGCAGGGACGAGTGAGCCCAGTGAATCACCTGAGGGCGCAATTCCACAGGGACAAACAGGCGATTATCAGGACACCCACGAGGTGGAGGGGTCTCACCGTTAGCCTGCTTCACCTTGGATTCTATTGGCCAGGTCACTGCTCCAACCACACAGTTTAGTGGGAGGATAGGTTCAGGTGCCCTGGCCACCGACTCGGGGCTGAACAACCGTGACAGAGCATCAGGCTTGGTGTTCCTTGACCCCGGTCTGTAGGATAAAGAAGGGGTTAGCGGTTAAAAAACAATGACCATCGGGCTTGACGCGAATTGAGTCGCTTGGCTTTCCTAATATATTGTAGATTTTTGTGATCAACATGTCCAAACCAAAAACGGGTGAGCCCCCTCGAGCCAGTGCCGCCATTCCTCCAATGCTGTCTTCACTGCCAGTATCTCCCGGTCCCCCACGTCATAGTTCCGCTCTGCTGGCGTCAATCGCGGGGCAAAAAGGCACAGGGGTGAAGCTTGTGGTCCCCTTCGGCTCGCTGGGAGAGGATGGCCCCGATCCCCTCGCTGGAGGCGTCCACTTCCACCACGAACTGACGAGCCGGGTCGGGGAGTGTGTGGATGGGAGCTGTGGTGAATCTCCGCTTCAGCTCCCGGAAGGCTGCGTCTGCGTCGGCCGACCAACGGAACGGGACCTGTGGGGGAGTGAGAGCATGGAGCGGGGCTGCTGTCGTGCTGAAGCCTCTGATAAACCGCCTGTAGAAGTTGGCAAAACCGAGGAATTGCTGCAACTTCTTGCGATTATCAGGTGTAGGCCAATCAGCTACCGCACTTACTTTAGCCGGATCCATCTGAACCTTTCCAGGAGCTACGATAAAGCCCAGGAAGGAGACAGTAGTGGCATGGAACTCACTCTTTTCCGCCTTGACATATAGCCCATTGTCCAAAAGGCGCTGTAGGACGAGCTCGACCTGTCTCTTATGGGTGTCAAGGTCGGGTGAGTGGATCAAGATGTCATCAAGCGAGCGATCTTGTCTTCAGCCGAGGACATTGTCCCACAAACAAGGTCTCAGCAGTTTTGTACTTCAAATAACCCTCCACCAACTTCAGAGCTTTGGCCTCAATGCTGTTTTTTAGACGGTGACGCCCCGTGGACTCTGGGAAAAGTCCCCAGTAACACGACTTAGTCTGACACTAGAATTAAACTCTCATAGTCCCGTCCTTATTGTCCACAAACAACGTCCACTAGGTCTGTCAAAATGCTGGGACACAGGTGGAAACAATCAGACAATCACAGGGGATTACAGGACAAGGCAGGAAGTGAAGTTACCCAGGGAGACAAGAAGCAGAAAACGACAAAATAAGACAGGAAATAAAACCACACCGTGACAGTATGGTTGTAAAACATATTCTCACATTGTGAATAAGGTGTCAGTCAGGCCGGAGCCGGGGAGGAGGACAAGGAAGCAGAGAGGTTTGACTGCAGGAGATTTATTCCAATAATTCATATATCTAATAATACCAAATACAACAATCCTTTCACAAACACAACACTAACGCGGGTGTGGACATGCACAACTACAAGACACACTGGCACAGGACAAAGGGAGACGCAGACAATAAGTATCCATGAGGGAGGTGAGGAAACGGGTGGAGACAATTAGGAATCAGGGGAGACAATCGACAGGAGACACCTGAGCAAGAGCAAGGCACCTGAAACGAGAGGGGGTTTAGACGGCACAATAAAACAGGAAGTATCAAAATCAGACGTAAGACGGGACACAAACACAAACTTCACCAACATGTATGACAGTACCGCCCCCCTAAGGCCGAATTCCAGGCGGCCTTGGAATGTCCGGATGGTCTCTGTAAAAATCTCGAACGAGATCAGGGTCCATGATGAGGCTGGGAGCCAACCCTCCGGGCTGTATGCCTCCCAGTCTACGAGGTACTGCCAGCCTCTGCCGCGCTTCCGTACTGCCAACAGCTTCAACAACAGATAGAATTAAACTCTCATAGTCCCGTCCTTATTGTCCACAAACAACGTCCACTAGGTCTGTCAAAATGCTCAAAAATGACCTTCGAACATTCCCTTTAAAAAAACACACATATTCTCATTGCGCTTTAAATGAACGACAACAATAAATAAATGCTGATCAAGAGTTTTGTGCAATTTAAGGTTGTGATTCTTGTCCCAAATATTCAATCACAATCAGTGATTGAATCAATTATTATTAACATTAATTGTTAATAATAAAGTAACGACATTGAACGCTCCCAGCGAGCTGTGCTGGTAAACATGCAACTTTTCCTTGAAACAGCAAATAATCCAACCAGTGCATGAAGCTGTTGTAGTCTATTTAATTCATGCAATATACCGTCAGTAGAGTAGCGACGAGCCCACACTAGTAATGTTTCTGTTAACGTTAAATAAAATGAGCCACACAATTCCAAGAAATGTGACGACAAAGAACTTTTACCCGGAAGTTCATAAAAAATAAAGTGCCATTAAAAACGACAGAGGCTACTTACATTCTTTGTGCTTGTATAAATAGGGAAAAACCTGAGTGCAATTCATTCCATTGTCAGGGGTTGTGAGGAGCTTTCAGTGCGCGGTCACTGTCGGGTCTACAGGTTATTTGCCGTCCACATTTGAAGGGGCCAGTGCCGACCTATTTTTATTGACTATATTCCAGCGTTCAGAGCGGACTGCGGATCCGGGGATGGAGAGATATTTATTTCCATCTGGGCAACGTGAGGGGATCGCCCAGAGCCCAAAGCTTTGCACCACATGAGAGGATTTAGTTGAGCAGCTATTGGAGACTCTCTTTTTGAAGCAGCAGATTGATGTCCTGGTCTGGGCTGTCCCTGCAGGACGTGTCTCCAAAGAGACACCCCACAGCAGTTGAAGCAGTTGAAGCAGTTTTCTCAGCAGGTTGCTGATCACGGGGTTCACTGCCTGCCACATTCACTGGTTTCATCTCCTCCAGTAGAGCCACCTGCTGCTCTTTTAAATGAATGAGGCCATGAAAGCCTGGATCCAGATAACTGGCTTTGTTAAGCAGCTTAAATGCATCCTTTTCCTCGCTATACCGCTTCTCCACATCTGTGATGGTCTATGTCTTCATCTGGTTCTGGTTCGCCTGCCTTTGCTTGTTCACAACATGTTTTAAAGGCCGTTGGACATTTGTCAGTTGAAAGTGCTTCTGTTGCCCCTTTAAAGGGTTGAAGGACCTCTTGTACCTGCAATGAATAACATAATATAATATGCGTTGATATCAGATTGACAGGTTTGCATTTATCCATGGTGTAAATAGGGCCCGTCCTTCTACCTATTGTTAGGACCGTTTGCATTTGTCCAGCCTGTCACGGTACATATTTCATACACTCTGCTCACCTTTTCCATTAGGGACCATTGGCTTGTGGTCAGCTCCATTCTTGACAGTTTCTTCTCAAAGATGACAGCAGACACAGCTGCTCCGATGCGTTGCAGATCATTTCATATGTGCTGCTCCATCTCGTTGGACAGTCGTTGATCAGCTTCTCCCTTTTCAATCCTAGAAGTTGTTGTTTCTGCTGGAGGAGGTATCTGTCGCCGGGGACGGGGATTTCAATGGCTCTGACCCCGAGCCCTTTACGCACAGCCAGTTCATTGTGTGCTCACACATGGTGTATTTCCCCTGTGAAGATGTCACGTAATCAGTGGGATCGTCCGTTGTGATGACAATCACTGTTCCACTTGTCAGGAATCAGGAAACATTTATTGCCAAAATATGTCAAACATACAAGGAATTTGTCTTGGCGGTTGGTGGGCGACAGTAGACAGTGTAACAATAGACAAGACAGCAGTGCACAAGTAATAAAGTAAAGTAAAATTAAATGCTAATGCAATGGGTTAGTAGAATAAGGCTGTGGGTTAGTATAAAACAAGAGAATAAAGTTAAAGTTAAACATTTAAAATATTTTAAAAAGTTAAAAAATATTAAGCATAAAGTGCACTAGCGAACAAGTAACAAAGTGACGAGTGACGACAAAGTGATAAATTATAGTTAAAGTGACGTGTGCAGTGTGAAGGGGAGTGACCGGTGGAGTGTTATAGTCAGTCAGTGGGGGACCGGCTCTGTTGATGAGCCCGACTGCCGACGGGAAGAAACTGTTGGTGTGGCGGGAGGTCTTAGTCCTGATGGACCTCAGCCTCCTGCCAGATGGAAGGGGCACAAACAGTTTTTGTCCGGGGTGAGAGGGGTCGGCTACCATCTTTATAGCTGCTTCAGGGTCCTGGAAGCGAACAAGTCCTGCAGGGACGGCAGATTGCAGCCGATCACCCTCTCTGCAGAGCGGATGACACGCTGCAGCCTGCCCTTGTCCTTGGCTGTGGCTGCAGCGTACCAGACGGTGATGGAGGAGCAGAGGATGGACTCCATGATGGCCATGTTATCCTCTGCTCCTCCATCATGTGAAGAACCATGTATGTATATCCTCCATGTATGTGAAGAACCTCCAATATCTCTTTCATTCGCCTAGATTCTCTGCAGTGTGGCTTCCCTTCAGCTCGGTTCCAGTGCTTCACAGAACTCCCTGAAGCCGATCCCGTCCACCACTCTGATCGGCCTCAAGTCCTCGCATATGAACAAAATCTATTTTTGCCTGCAGGCCTCCTGTCGTGCTGCAGACAACAAACTTGTGGTGGACGACGCAAAATATGTATCCAGACGAGGCTGTTTGGCTGAAGTTGCACATTTTATGCCGTATGCACTTGGGTGCACAATGGAGCCTCAGGTTTTCGCCAGCAGCGGAACTACTTTATAGTCACTGTGTAACTTATCGTTGTTAGCGTTAAGATGAGCTCTAATATTGATTATATTCCTTAGTATTTGTATTTGTTCGGTACACACAGTATTGCTTATCTTCCCCACAATATCTGACGCGGATGATGGTGAAGCAGGTTAGTTAAGACGATACCTTTGTGATACTTTATTCTAACACTTTCTTGAGTAAAGGAACCTTTTTGATTAAGTTCTCACCCGGGACCTATATGTTTGACCTACAGCCCCTCCGACGGGTGAGCTTGTCCTTTCATACCGAGTGTGACTGGTACCTCTATGTATCAAGATAAGGGCACTCACCGGTGTCTGCAGCTTTCGAAGCGGTGTTCTGGTCATTCAGCTCCTTGGAGGAGGCTCCTCAGTGGAAAGGAATCCCCCGGAAACAAATGGTCTTTTGTTCCCCAAAAAGGAGAATTTTTATTCATATAAAAAGCAAAAAGGTTTACAAAAATTGATATAGAAAACAATAAAAAGCAGTTATATCTTACAGACCCTAAAGGTTACTGAGGCAGAGCACCAATGGTCAATGAGCTAGACTGAAGACTAGTAGACGTTTTTTTAAGGTTAAAACATGTTGGTATATATACGTTTCTAACAGAAGCAATGTGCGTCACAGGGGCTTCGGTTGCGCCAATCGTGGTTTCGAGCTGACATCTCAGGTTCGTGCATTATTTGCGGTACTAAGTGCTTATACAGGAAAACAGCTTTATATGGTAAACTGATTTTTTTTTTTTTGGTGCAGGAAGCAAAGCGATTTTGTAAGCATTTTTGTTTTACACAGTATTAGCTTTTTAGCAGGCTATAAAACACATTGGTCATTTAATGTCTTCTTCTTCTTCATGACAGCCTCCAACCTGCAGTCAGTCTGCACCCTTTACACTTAGATGGACGTCCAATCTGCATTATGTCCAATTTAATAAACGTACCAAGCAGCATTACTGGTACTTACTTCTTTGGGGTCACAAACAGTTACTTCACACAAACACCGTCCTTCACCTCCATGGTGGTCTGGAAGGTTCCTGTGGGAGAACTTCCTCCCTCAGCAGCACTCCTCGTCCCTCACAGACCGACGGCACCACTGTAGAGGACTAGAAAAGGTCTCCCTGCTTCCCTCTGGTGACGTCTTGGCGTGTCGGTGAGAGGAGAGGAGCAGCAGCTCCGGTGTCGGTCCGGCTCGTGGTCGCTGGTAGCTCGCCAGATGTGGTGGATTCATTTCTTCCCAGTTTGAACTATTTAACTGTGACTTTATCTGACTGGTGATGAGGACCCACGCGTCCTCACAGGGACTCTCAGTAACACACAGAACACACTGCACATCTCATCCTTCACTTCAGACACTTATTGGAGCAACAGCACTCGAATAAACCCACTTCTTTCCTGTAAGACACCACCTGTCACCACCTGGATGTGTAGATGCTGGTCATCTGCCTCCAGTGTGTCTTTGTCCTTTAGTCCAAACCTTTGTGGTGCTGTAGTGATCTCCGGATACTTTCTCCTCTACTTCAGAGAGACAACAGTCATTATTAAACCAACACAAGAGGTCCAACAATCAATACTTCTACACTGACCACGGATCAGCTGACTGTGGTGGAGATGAACCACAGAGAATAGTGGACTTCATCCATCAGCTGGATGTGGAAGCAGCTGCTTGATCTCATGTTCCACAGAACTACTGTAGAAGATGATCACATGTCACATGTTGTGTTTAAGCACAAGTGGACAAAGAAACCACTTGATGCAGGTTGAAACATGTCACGGTGTGGTTCACTTCATGTTATATTTTGTAGTTTTCTGCCACTCGTGTCCCCGGGTAACTTCACTTCCTGCCTTGTCCCGTCATCCCCTGTGATCATCTAATAGTTTCCACCTGTGTCCAATCACCTGCACCTCCCTTGTGTATTTAAGCCGTGTGTCTCTTGTGTCACTTGTCGCGTCATTGTCTTTCGTCACGCATGGTCCTGTCTTTCGTCGTGGATGTTTCTTGTCAATCTTCCTGGATGTTTCTTGGTCCCTGCCTGTATTTTTGCCACGGTTCCTGTGTGCGTTTTTGCCCCTTGGCCTTTGCTTTTGCCTGTTGACTATTAAAGTCTTTTGTTTTCCTGCAAGTCTGCATTTGAGTCCTGCCTTCCACCCGCACCCTGACAGAAACATTTGATTGACTGACTGCTGAAGGAAGCTGAGTGTGAAATGAAGATGATGGTCAGTATGATGCTGATGATGAATAAGTGAACATGATGAGCTGTGGAAGAAGAAGAGGTGAAGGACAAAGCTGTGTGTATGAGAGTGATGTAATGTCCATGTCTCCATGCTGCTCTGACCCCCCTCCTCCTTTCAGGGTGGAGCCTGATGGAGTCCGATGGTTGAGACCAGGTCTGAGGAAGTGTAAGTGTGCTTTGATTCATGAAGATTCAACCATCTTCACACTGTGACATCACTCATTCACCTCTGTGATGTCATCATCAAAGTGTCAGTAGATGAACACATGATTAATAACTGCAGCTGTATTGTGTCTTGTTCTCTCATCAGATTCCTGTCAACTCACAATCGACACAAACACAGTAAACAGAGAACTCAAACTGTCTGACAACAACAGGAAGGTAACATGGGTGATGGAGGATCAGTTTTATCCTGATCACCCAGACAGATTTAACCACTGGCATCAGCTGCTGTGTAGAACTGGTCTGACTGGTCGCGGTTACTGGGAGGTCGAGTGGAGCGGAAACGTTGATGTATCAGTGAGTTACAGAGGAATCAAGAGGAAAGGAGACCGTAGAAACGCAGTGTTTGGATGGAATGATCAGTCCTGGACTCTGACGTGCTCTTATGGAGGTTACTCTGTTCAGACAGGGACACGCATCACCTCCTCCTCCTCCTCCTCCTCCTCTGGTAGAGTAGCAGTGTATGTGGACTGTCCTGCTGGCTCTCTGTCCTTCTACGACGTCTCCTCTGACACACTGATCCACCTCCACACCTTCAGCACCACATTCACTGAACCTCTTTATCCTGGGTTCAGGTTCAGGTCCAATTATGGTTCCTCAGTGTCTCTGTGTCCTCTTTAGGATGGAGAGTCTCCTCCTGGTGGAGAACCTTCCTCTCTGCTCACCACATAGTTCAGTCTGTACAGCTGATGGTGGTTCATGTGGGTGTAGATGCAGGTGGAGCAGGTGAGGGGTACCTGAGCTGGTCTGGACTCTGGGGGGTCCACAGCTCTCTGGGACTCAGATGGAAGTGTGAAAGAGCTCAGCTTAATGCTGCTGTGCTCCTTCAATCAATAGATGATCATTTAGATATTGGCTCCTAATTAGGCTTTAATCTTCATCTTTATGTGTTCAAGAAGACATTTTATAAGACGCTCTTTCATCTGTCCCCCCGTATGAGACAAATGTGTCCTTATGTGTGTGTGCGCTTCATCAGCAATAATAAAAACAAGGTGAAGAAGGAAAATATTTAACTTCAAATCTTTCTAAATCTGTTGAGTGAAATCAAATCTAATTTCACACAATCAGGTTTGTTTTGAACAAGAAGCTTTTTAATGGTTCAGCAAACCTCTCAAGGAAATATTGAATATGCGTTACTTGTGTTTTTATTCACTATAATGTCATTTACAACATTTACTCCATGTGTTACTTTAACAGAAATAGAATTGTTTGGCTCTAATGTTAAATGAATTTTATTGGAAACAACTGTACATGTTTAAACAGGCCATCAAATAAAGATGCTTTCAACACGCTGTATTATTTCTTTTGACATGAAATACTCTGATCCTTTTTAAAGATGCTGTACTATTGACTTTTGTACTATTTCCTCCATAATATCTGTATTTATTCTACAGCCCTGTTGCTGTGTCAATAGCACAGAGGAAACATTGGTGGTGCAGCATGTTGAAGAAGGAAGTGAGTAAATAAAGAAATGAGTAATGAATAAGTTGCTTTATTAACCTTATTAACCTTCACGCAGAGCCGTCTCACAACAACACAAACTACTGAGCTCGCTGCTTCAGGTGCAACTTGAAGCTTTCATTCTGCACTAAATGTCACACTTAAGTCACCAACAATAACACACAAAGCACACATTTGATAACAGGGTGGAGTTTATTTCCTCAGAAAGTGGAGTATTCACAGTGTTAAATGTGATTTCCCGCCAAAATAAAAGACAAGCAGCAGCAGCAGCAGAGGAGTCCAGCAGAGATCTGACCATATATGCCACACCATCATCCAGAAGCAAAGGGGGTGGTGGTGCCGACTGAGCCTCAGGGCCTGACTGGCCATCCTGGGTTCTGACAACGAGCAAGGAGACATGGAAAGTTGGATTGATCTTGTAATGAGTGGGCAACTGTAACCGAGAAGACACCGCATTGACTTGCTTGATCATCTTGAATGGGCCGATAAAACGAGGACTTAGCTTCTTGGACTGGAGGCGGAGACGGATGTTCCGCGTGGAGAGCCAGACTTCCTGACCGGGTTGGAGCTGAGGTGCCGCGCGTCTGTGTCGGTCTGCGTTCACCTTCTGACGTTGGATGGCCTGTCGTAGATGGACGTGAGCGGCGTCCCAGACCGCCTTACTCCTTCTAAACAAAACGGGACAGACCAACTGGACAGTAAACAGGGGGGAGTTTGGGGACCAGATATTGAAGGCCTCAGTACTCTGGGGAAGGGGAGCGCTGGATCGTGACAGTCCCTGAGCAAGGCACCTAACCCCTAATTGCTCCCTGAGCGCCCTTACAGCTGCACACTGCTCCCACTGTGTGGGACGGGTTAAAAACGCTACGTAAGTCGTTTTCAGCTAAATGAAATGTAATGTCTTACTTTGGATTCAATCTTGATTGCGATTTAAAGGGTGGCTCTGATTTTGATTTGATCTTCTGAAAAGTTTTGATAGATGTTGATTTGATCTCCAGTGGTTGAACCTAATTTTATTTAAATGTCAGATAAGGAAGTTATTATTCCATTGTGCTTTGAGTTAAGGTTACATCATCACTACTAGTTAAAGTTTGAATGGTATTCAAACGTTTAAACACGAGAGGATTTAAATCCTGATCGATTAGCATTGCAGGTGGTTTAGACTTTCACTTTCTTAATTCGGCTTTTTTGTTTGAATTTAATTTGAACTTCTAGTTTGTTGGGTTTCCTCTTCTCTCTCCTGTGTTTACACCGTAATTGTATACGTTTAATCTCAGGTTTCCGATTCTAACATTGAGTTGCTCAAGCCATAACTAGTTTGATTTTTTGCCCTTTAATTGAACCTGTATTGATAGCGTTTGATCTGTATTGTCGTTATTACTTTGATTGACTGTCTCCCTTTCAGATCCAGTAGTTTACTTTGCATTGCATCTCATCATAGTCAGTGACAGAATAGCTCCTGGGACAGAAGCGACACCTCAGGGTTCTTTAGACACACCAGGTTGCATCATGGTTACTTTTACAAGTCGGTAGGGCCAGTGAGCAGATGAAGATCAGATGGAGCCCAAAGAAAGAGAAAGGGAGTGGAGTAGGATGAAGAGATGCTTGAGAAGATGGCAGAAGAATGGGTGGTTCCCAACAAGGTCACCACCAGTGGGTGAAGACAGGCGCAAGGTGTGGAGGGAGACTGTAGCAGCAGGAAACCAAGCCACTACGGCTTATGTGGGAGCCGGCCGCTTAGATAAGTAAGAAGAGACGTGTCTGCACCAAGCGGCTGCTCGCCTACTGGAGGGCAGTCCACCCAAACACCCCCGAACCTGCTGTTGGACTGGCAGAAGAAGAAGAAGCAGATGGTGAGCCCAGTCAAGCCGCCACCTCTCAGTCCAGACACCCATGCCCCCCTCAGCTGTACCCAGAAGCTGCACAGGAGAGGCCAGGTCCTTCCCGCCACATGCAGAGAAAAGGAGAACTTCAAACAGTCCCTTTGTCAAACCGAGCATCCAGAACAAGAACCTCTGTTGCATCTGAGAGGAGGAACGGGGAAAGTCGTGAGCGATGGAGAAGATGAGCCTGAGAGAAACAACTTAGAAAAGATGACATCATCACATGAGGGTCACGAGAGCGTGGTGGTTGAAATAGGAGAAGAGGAAGCAGGAAGGAGGAGAGGCTGCTATTGGAGGACGTCCTCCCCATAGACATTCTCGGATATCTGGAGCAGCAGAAGCAGACTAAAGACAGTGAGACAGGAGACAACTGCAGGTGATAGACAAACAGCCCCAATACCTCTGGGGGGCAGAGGACAAATATCCAGCAGGAAGAGACCATTCAATGGGTCTCCAGCAGCCCCCACCGCGCAGAGGCAGACGACGTGGGAACAAATGAGGACGTGGATGTTATAAATGTGGACAGGAGGACTATTGGAGTGTCCCAGGAGTTATGAAAGGGACACGCAACCAAACGCTCCTCCACGGCTGTTCTATACAACGCAGCCCGGCAGAACCAGAGGACGGGTCCACCCCCCACCCCTCCCCATGCAACCCCCATAACAACTAGCTGGTGACACACCGACCCCCACTACTTCCCAACAGCTCAGTCTCCCCAGTTTACGACTCACATTCCAGGTAGAAGAAGGGAGAATAGAAAGTACAGACTATTGAGAGTGTCAGAAAATGGATTTACAAACAGTACGAAACATTGATTTACTAATAGAGGGAAACTGTCATTAAAAATGAAGAGACAAGGTTGTGAAAGATTTAAATGAGGAATGAAGGTGATGAGAAATAAGGGGAATTGTTGTATATAGTGTCAGTTTTTTGTAATAATCTTTGTAGTTTTTTAGTCTCCTCCTAAGCTCAGAGATAAGCAGTAAATTGTTGAGTGCTGCTGTTGAGGTTAAAGTGCACGATACACTTGATACAGTATCTGGATGATGGAAGCAAATGTCTGATCAAAGGAACATTGATAGCAGCAGTACATGAAATATGGAAACTTTGTTAGACGTCATCTTGTGATGGTTCAACTGGTACACACTTACATTTGGATACGCTAAACATGAGAGGTTGCTGAATGAATGAATGTACTAGAATGGTTTAATTATTGATGGGGAAGGGTAATAGGGAAGTAAGTAAAGAAGAGAAAAAGAAAAGTGTTTAAGAGTATGACAGAGGGTAAGTGGAAGTGTAAAGATGGAAAAATAGGTTGAAGAGTCAAACAGTAATGATGCAGATGATCACATATCATGACAGCGCAGACAGGCTGAAGGCAAAAGGAGAAAGAAAGGTTGGAGAAATGTGAGGTCATATTTGTGTGTAATCCTGGCGTGAGCAGATCTATTACTTCAAGGTCACAATGAACAAGAAAACTTGATGAATTAGTTGATGAAGACATGGAAACGTCATGCGACACCATGAGGATGAGACCTCTAAGTGAGAACGCACAGAGAACATCGATCGGGACATCAAGACAACATTTGTGTTCGCTGTTTGTGATTTGACTGGAATGAATGGCTCCTCAAACACGTCGGAAACGAGGCTGGTTGAGGATTTACAAAGCAGTAGGTAAATACTGAATACGCAGAGGCTTTCTTTATATCACATGCTTTCATTTTTCCATTGAGATGTTGTTCTAATATGAAGTGAATTCAAACAGGAGGGAACAGAACCAGAACAGCAAGAACAAAGAAGGGATTTTTCTTTTAAGAAAGCAACATTCATAAGCGTCATCAACGTGCTAATTACTTCAGGTGTAGTGGGTAGATATGTGTGTTTACCTCTACAGGCTTCATGCTGTCCTGATATCATTAGGGAACTCCTTCCACCATTTGGGAGCCAGGACAAAGGAGGACTTTGTTGAGTGTTTAGCTCTCTGTGAAGAAACCAGCAGATGCAGAGTTGGGAGTGAATGAGGGACCAGAGGCTGCATTCAGCGGAAAATGCAGAGGTCAAAGGTGAAGACACTTCGTGGTCGAGGAGGGACTAAAGGCTGCCGCATGTTTCTGCGTCTTTACGCTCTGTCGTGTCGACGCACTCGTTTCACTTCCTGGTTGTAAAGTCTTGCGTGTGTTGCAGAGTGTTGGGAGTAACGCGTTACACGTTACTGTAACACATCCTATGAGGCAGAGTTTTGGCCGTCCACCATCCGACAAGTCTAAGGGACCGCCG